AAAAAAAAAAAAAAAAAAAAAAAAAAAAAAAAAACCAACAAAAAAACCCAGCATCCATCCTAGATTCCTAACTGCTTTTGTTCCTTACTCTTGACAGGTAACCCTTCCTGCTCTATTTTCATATTCTATTATTAGTCAGGTACATGTGCGTTAGATTAATCGTATAATAGAATAGTATCACCTAAAAACATGGTAGCAAATCCAATATCTTCATACACATTTAAGAGTACTCTTTTAAATTTAATATTCTTGATTTGACTAAGAATATTAAAGGGGCTTCTCTACATTATGTTTCACAGTCTTTAAAAGCAGCTTTAAGATTATTGGTAAAACCTGAAATCTAAGAAACAGAATCAAAACTGTGCACTGTGTATTTACACTTAATATAAATGTATCCTACAACAGAGACCCAACACATTTCTCCATGCATGAAGCATATTGAGATGGAATAAAAATGGATAGATCTATAACTCATTAGAACATCATTTAGACTAATCTCAGAAGCCTTTCTTCTTCAGTATCTCCCCATAATTTGGTGTATACTGACAAAGAATGCTGATAGCTTGGAGACTGTGGAGGTGCCTCCTGCATTAAATTCCTCTTATAGCTAGAACTTAAATGACTTTAATCTTAGAGCTCCATTATTGAATACTGATTCTGCTGCTGCTATAAAACTCATTAAGCAATTTAAGGGTCTTCCACTTTCGTTTTGTGGGAAACTTCCTTAATACTAGGTCTCTGCTGCATATCAAAGAAGTCATAATATAGTTTTAGCACCAAATATGGTAAACAGGGCCCCAGTTGTTCACTACTTCCAACCAGACTCAGTGATAATAACTTGAGTATTTAGCTAACACAATTAAAAAGGCAAAGAGAGAAGTATATGTATCACTAATTACATACACTACCTGGTAATCTACTGGCTTAATTCAAAACTCTTTTTATTATTTCTGATTATTCATCACCCCCAAGGCCAACTATAGTTTGTATCTTTTTTTTTTTTTTT